GTATTTATTTGAAAATAAATACAAATTTGTTGCAAATTACGAAGTAGAAAAAAATTTGTTATGCACGTGGAATCTTTTTTAACTAGGTACTTAGTTACGTATAAATTATGTAACTTGGCTACATACACTTGCTTGCATAATGTACGCACGTGTTGGGAAATTATCAGTTGAAACTTTCCATCTCCGAACTATCTTCCGTTTACATATTTGTCACTCTTTCAACAATAATTCTCGATCTCGGTGTGGTACTTATACGATGCTTAAAAATGTATACGATAGTCAATCAAATGAGTGAATAGGTCGTTATCGATCTCTTAGCATCACTCTCGATAACTCATCTTACAAGAATAAGAGACCTTCAAAATCACATAAGTGCAAGCGAGAGAATTGTGTAAAAATAAAAAAAAAGTAAAACAATTTTTAATTAAAACTTTTGATTTTTTTTGTGTATATTCATATTTCTTGGAAAAGATTTAGGTTTAAAATATGAGTCAAATAAAACTGTTATACGTAAACACAAGCACACACCGACATACAGATTAATATATATTTATGTTTGAACATTTAAATAATAATTATATTTTCTCACACACAATATATACACTGAAAGAAAAAATTGGCTGATGCAGCAAATTAGATGGCATATCATTTTTAGTTGGCTGCGGCAGCCAATCTTTTCTTTCAGTGTATTATTTTTTGAAATCAAGACTATTGATAATAAAAGATAAATTATTTTTATTGTTTAGGAAGTATAAACAGAATGTTTCAAAATTAATCCTCTCATTTTTCTATTACTTAATGACAATTCTTGGATCAATGAATTGAAACAGATCTCGCAAAATGCTACTGCTTATTGCAATCTTAAATTTTTACATAATCAGGTCTGGAATACCATGTCTAATAAATGACTGCCGAGATTGTGCTTGGATGTTCTTGCTCTCTCTCTCTCTTGATTTTTTCTATTATTACAGCGATTTCTCTTGGCACGTATCATTTTTCTTCAAGAGAAGATTTAACAATCCGACCCCTGACGGGGGTTTAAAAAGTACGCCAAGAAATTGCTGCAATCAGAGCTGAAACTTCGGTTGTGGTAATGGAAAATGCGGTTTGAGAGAGTGAAGATCTGCAAACATAGTTTGAATGACTGATTAGTAGATTATTCCGGATTTGATTATGTAACATTTTCCACAATCTGGTTTCACACGCAGCTTAGTGCCATCGATTACAAGAAAGTTTCAATGAGATCCTAGTGATTTTAATAATATACCAAGAAAAATCATTTCAAAAGAAAAAAAAGTATGAGATTGTTTCATAAAAGAACTGTGTACACTGACGAGTGCGTGGGTCTTTCTGCTCTTATTTGACGTCGAATCGCGGATGATTCCCAAAAAAAGAGATAATTACACGTTTTCAGACTCACTCGTGAACAGCCGTGAGATGCGAGAGGGCCTAGCGATTGGATTCCATGCGGTTACTTTTCTGCAGTACGCTTTCGCGGTTTTTTACGATTACACGTATACGATCGTGCCGCACGATGTTAGGAGTGTGCACAACGCCTACGGTGGGAAGTTCAAGTTCCTAACGTTCTGGGATGCGGTTAGTATCGACGTATAATATCGCTCTCTCTCTGAGTGCGATCAGTTTCATTGATAAAGTTGCAAAGTTTTCATCCTTTGGTGTCGGTACCCACACGCACGATGCACCAGTACAATAAACGCATCCCGCACACCCTGTATCGATCCTCTCGCTGTCACTGAAATTGTCACGATCATCGAAGAAACTGGAACGAGATTTTCTACATTGAAACCGCTATTATACGCTTGCAGTGATCGATTTGAAAGTCCAGATCAATACGTAAACGACAATGTAACAAAATCTCAACCTGCGGCGAACCGCTTCAAGAAATTCAACGGAAATCGTTGTAACGAGATATTATTATCCATGATCTCATTACCTTTTAAGAGTTCCATTTTTCCTATTTATATCTGTAAAGACCGTTACTTCCGCGGGAACAACTTGTACTTTATGATGCGTAATGAGATATTAATTTTAAATAGAAACGTCCACGATGAGAACTGCAGTTTCAGCGGTATAGCAATCATTAGTCAAGACACTATTTCTTTTTTATTTCTAGACGCATTTCCATCCTGATTTATCTTCCTGTTCTTCGCAAAAAGAAATTACTGCATTTTCTATAGAGTGATATTACAGAACAACGAGAAACCCTATATAGTATTCTTCGAAAAAAAACTGATTCTCTACGATCATAGATCCAGTATACGCAATGTATCCTTATTACCGTGTTACGTAATAGTGAAAACCGACACGTCTAGCAGATATAGTGGATACCGGGCAAAAATCACAAATAACAGTGATATAGTAGATTCCTCGAATCGGCAATATAGAAAAACGATATATTCATTAAATAATATTAATGATTATCAGTGTAATCAATAATTATAATATAAAAGTAATGTATGTATATATGGTAATAACCGGGAAGCTGAATAGTTGTTATTTTGTAATGGTGAACAGAATAAAATGAATTGAACACTCTACTATAAAAGGAAAACATCATTTTTGTTATTTTATTATCGTATAGAATATATACATTTAAATTTGTAAAAATAAATAATTATAAAGAAGAACAAATAATTTGACTGAGTGCGTAATTCAGCGACATATATTTTCGGAATAATGACTATGCGAACTCATACAATAATTAAAGCGCTTTTAAAGACTATTAATTATAATTTTTAATTTATGTATATATTAATAATTGTAACTGAATTTTTAAAGATTTTCAAACAAATTTTTTTCATAGAAATTAATCGCTCATCATGCCATTCTAAACATACGTCACTGAGCCGTATAGTTGAGCAAATTTCAGTTTGTTTATAATGCTAATTTTTATATTTATTTTCATTACGTGCTAAAAAACAACGATCTTTATGATTTATCTTAATTTATTCTGTCTATTATCTCATTGTAAAATAGGAACTGTTATAGTTTTAATAACTTTTAGTTTGTCACACACACTTTTTATCATAATAAAACATTTTTAATTTGAATAAGTTCGTAATATTTATACATTAATTGCATTGATTACATGAGATATACAAAATAAAGTATGATATTTTCATATGAGAGATACAAGGAAAATTAACAATTCGACAAAAGTGGCTGAAACTCCATCAATTACGTATATGTTAGATATCTAAATAAATGAACGCGACACATTCAATATACTTTAGAGATATTTACCTTTCAATTGACATTTATCTTACAAATTAAAAATACACTTGTTAGGGACAAGTGCAGCTCTCCATTCAATTTGTCCCGTTAAGCCAAAAGCGTGACTCTACATTCAATGAGATTACGTTCAAGCATTTTGTCACTTATCGTCGAACGATGATGACACACTCTCGACCATTTCACGCTCGAATTGCTGTCATCAAACCGCTCGTAAAGAGCAAAATTCAATTGTTTAAGCATCACTTGACATTATGCAGCGAAACTGAGGAATGCAAAACTGCTTGTGCAGTATCAATCAATATAATTACGTTAAAACTCGGATTAATTATTTCATTTAATAAAACGATAAACATTAATTTTCTACCTAAAATCTAAGCTTTCTAAATTAGTTCTAAATTAGTTCGAGTTTTATTCACTCACTTTTTAATGATTAAATAAGCAGGCTATCTATAATGGTGGCGACAACAAACAGTTTATTAATCTTTGATGATCGAAATATAGTTTCTTTATAAATTATTTTTATTTAAATTCTTAAAGAATTTTTAAAGATCTTAAATTTATATGTGTGTACTAATTAATCTTAATATCGAGATTGGCGCGGATAATTAGGTCACTTCCTCTTGCGCTGTCAACGCGTTGAAGTGTTTTGTGACTTGCACGTGACACACATCATCGCTCGATTGACACGTGATAAGCTTGAACGAGCATTGGAGATTATACGTTTTAATAGAAATATTTGATCTTAAAATATCAATATTTAATATTTAAGTATCAAAATGAAATCGTATGTTATATATAATAATAAACGAAAATATTTATACTATATTATGTAATAATATAAATTTAAAACCACATATTTGATGGTCGTGCGTTAGTATCGTAATGTCGAAGGATTTTGATATAAAAAAAATTTTAATGCATATGATAAAGTGGGATATGCTTTTAAAAATTTTTTAATTTTTATTCATTTATATTTATTACTTTTTTACTTTAAAATTTTTTTTTAGAAATAAAGTTTACTAATCTTCCCGCATGTATTTTTAGTATTGACAATGTTCGAAATAAAACATTCAAATTTTCCATATTTACGAATCTTATCAAGACTTTTTTAACATATGGTGTACAGCATGTACAATAAATACACATTGAGAATATAAATCATACGTTAAATAATTTTACGTTTGTGTTTATTAATGTATTAAACTATGTATTTATCGATGCTTGAAATAATATTTAAATATTAACGTATATAAATAAACGTATATACATTAGTAAGTCGGAAACGGCGAAAACCGAAGGACCGCATATAATTTCAATTTACTTGTCCGATAAAGAAAACAGCAAATAGTAAAATATATTGTGTGATTATATTATATTGTATATATTTTGATATTATATTAAGATAATACTTTACGTTATCTGGAATATATATACACGTCTCTTTTAAACTAAATATTTAAGTTTTTAGTAACGTAAAATAAATGCAACTAAATAAAAAAAATTGTTTGCTTTACAAATATTTTTTTTAATTCGATTTATTTGGTAAACTGTTCGCTAAAATTTCAACTTGCAATTATTAATGCATATTTTTTATTAGTAAATATAAAGTAGTTCTAACAGTAGAAGCATGGTAGCAATAATATCGCAGTTAATTTTAAACGATATTTATAATTACTGCGGCAGCCGCTAAAAATATATATTGACTCGTTTAATTAAAACACTTTGAAATGTCACTTGTGTTCTAGATTCTGCAAACAATATTCTTTTTGATATGTCTCCTAAACGATTTATTCGGCACAAATGCTATAAACCCCAAGAAGCCGCCTTTCACGCGGAAGTTAAAGGATTACTTCCATGCAAGTCTCGGGTTTCCAGTTGCTATGGTGAGTAGTATAATTATTTTTGTTTTTTTTTTTCATATTATTGCAGCTAAATCGAATTGAGAATAGAAAAAGTCAATAGATACAAAATTTTACGAGTTTTACTGTAAGATGAAGGGAGTAGAAGGAACATAATTCTCGAAATACCAAATTTTTAATAGATGTATACATATGCTATAGATCTTACATATTTTTCAGTTTGCGAGAAAATCGTTTGTATAACGATGAATATTAAATCGTTCGTGGGTGTACAATGTAATGCCAATTCCATTGTTTTGCAGTTCGTCGGTGTGACTTTCTGGGTGTTGATGTTTGTGGATCGTGAACTGGTATTGCCGAAAGCATTGGATCCGTACTTCCCATGGTGGTTGAACCATTTAATGCACACGATGATCATGGTGACGACAATATTAGAAATGATATTCGCGCCACGGCAATATCCTAAGCGATCTCGCAGCCTCGGAATACTCATTAGCTTTATGCTCACGTACTTAGTCTGGTAAGTGAAACGAATTTGCGGTATCCGCTTTTCTTGATTGCAATAATAACGCATCGCGGGAATCAATATATCAGCGATTTAAATGTGGAAGTTTTAATTGTTTTATAACAAAATTTGTCTTGGAATTCTTCACATTATTTTTTAAAATTTCTATAATTTTATAACTTTTTAGAAAAATTTTTTAATGTTTTCTATACGAAACGCTTTTCAGAAGTGCTAACAAGATTTGCATTTTTTAAATAGTATTTTATATAAATGTGAATTTTAAAAATATTGAAAATATTCTATGTCTGAAGAAAATTTATAAAATCTGAAAAAATTAAAAATATTATTTAAAGGTCTTATAAATTTAAAATATGATACAAATTCTTAAAAATATTATGAAATATTATAAGAATTTTTTCATCAAAAACGCGAAGAAAGAAACTAAACGCTTTTTATTCGCTCACGTGAGAATAGAATGACGCTAACTTACACAATTTCAGGGTACACGTAATCTACTATAAAAGCGGCGTCTGGGTGTACCCCGTGATGGACGTGCTGACGTTACCGCTACGGCTTGTGTTCTTCGCCGTGCTGCTGACATTCTGCGTGATTCTATACTTCGTCGGGGAGACTCTGAACAACATCATCTGGGGTAACGAATACACAAAGCATAAAAAATCTCACGCCAAATCCAAGTAGCCTCGCCCAAGCGTTCCTAACGGGTGATAAAAGCCACATCTGCCTGCCACCTGCGGTGTTGGTGAATAAAACAAAAATGGATCTTTTCTACACATACCCTCCGTTGCAGCATGCACAATGTATTATTTGTCAGATGTAAATGTTATTTAGAATATTAGTGCTGTGTATGTGCATGCGAGGCGCAGTTTAGGGTATAACAATGAGGCTCGCGTGATCGTTAACCCGGCGCAATGGAGATAACATGAAGGAACAGCATGCAAGGTGCATCACATTTCCATGAGATCACGGACCAAGGGAGACTAATCCGTGGGTATATAGCGTTTATTTCTCTCATTTTCTTTTTCCTCTTGCGCGCCGAGCCAAATAAAGCGATGCGTATAAATCCCTCCCCCTACCCCCGCCTATAATAATATTTATTTTTGTACTTTCATAGCGAACGATTTATTGTTTTTATCAATAAAATCATTATAATACAATGCACGTAGAATACGTGTGTAATATAATATGCATATAATGTACAATGTAGCGTACGTGACAATTTGCCCGAACTAAAATCCAGATATATTTGTGTGATCGAGTGTAGGAAAAAAATACGTAGCGGTAATGGAGAGCGTGGAGCCAGATTTGAAAACGTAGAAACGGCGGATGGACGAGAGGGAATCTTAAATGTACCGATCGTAATGTACCGATCATCCGGGGATAACGTTGCTGAGGACATTTTCTTGCTACAAGTGAGAGAAGTGCCTTGGCGAAATCTAGTACGTTTACGGAAAGAAGATTTTAACTTCGACGTTGAGACGAAAATATATAATTATCTATGTATGATTATTGAGTACAGTTTAATTCAGCGAACAATGTATCTAATAATACGTAATGGCCTAGAATTGATTGCAACATATGGTATATATTTTCCTAGAAGTTTTATTAAATATGTTTAATGGATACAGACTTTTGACATCTGTTTCTTGCCAGAATATTTAAATTAATGTCATCAATAAGAATTATGAATTATTTACAGAATGTTAATGGTTCGATATGCTACAATATAAATATAAATGATAATAATTTCATTTCTGATTTTTCTTAGAAAAACAAAATAAATCTTAAATGCAATCAGAATTTTAACACGTTGAGAAAGAAAGTAATTAATATACCTTTTCATATTTCGCGTATATATATTGTAATAGTAAAATTTTAGAAACATTTAAAAATATTGAGAATGTTATAATTAGACTAATAAATATGAAAAAATACGTTACGTAAAATAGAGTATTACATAAATATATTAATAATTATTACAAAATATAAAATGTAAGGATACAAGAAGACACAGTTTATAATTTCAAAAGACAGTACTGACAGTACTTTTCAATTGACATTTGTACTATTAGAAGATATTCGACAAAATACGCTTTACAATTTTGTATCAGCCATATATATATATATATATATATATACACACATAATATAAAAGCAATTTACTTTTCTGCAATTATAAAATATGGGTATACAATGAACAAAAAGTAAATTATTTATTATTAGTTATTAAAATAAAAAATTTTCATTGATTTACATTCTACGAATGTGATTCAAATCACAATTATATTAAATAGATACATGAATCTTTTTTTCTTTCCAAATAGCCAATAATCTATAAATCAATAACGTATAAAATTATAAAACGTGTTTTATTTAGGCACTTGTTAAAAAAATTAATGTACGAACACATACTTGCATGCGCGCATGTCTCCCTCCCTCACACATACACACACATACACAGAAAGAATCACACACATGTACAGAAAGAATATCTTATTGTTATAAAAAATGTTTGTACGCGCACGTGATACATTTTTACAAAATATCGGAAGACATACAATATTAGAAATATAATGAAATCCTTTTGCGAAAAAATATGTACAACGTGATATACATTAAAATCTAGTATCATCACAAATTGAAAATTAATTACCTAGCACTCGATGCGAGTTGTCAGTTATGGATACTTTATTAAGATTTGATTACTATTTTAGCAATAATAATAAAATATATAAAAATATTTATATATATATTTTGTTATCCTTACACATCTTCTCAAATGATATTATTTACCCGAATTTATTGCATTATCATTTCATTACTACATATCATTTACAATGTCAAAAATAATAAAAGTGAATAGACGATTATTTTTTTTAGAAAATATGATAAAAGCGATAAGAAAAAAAAGATGTAGTCGATTAATAATGCAACAATTCTTACTATTTTAATAAAATATATCTATATAGCACATAATTCCTTATTTCACGCATTTCTCGATATATTTATATAAGAACAAAAAATTGTTCTCAGTCTTACGTCGTGATATTCTTACTTTTTTTCAATTGCGGCGATATTTGAGTTCCCTTAGAGCTACAATGTCTGCTGTTAATTATCTCATCGATACTCTGCTTTAACTCTTCCATCTCCAGTATATCGAGCGGCAGCGAAGTCTGCGTCGCTATCTCTCTAGCATTAGTCTGTCCATCGCCTTGCAACAATCTCGTTAACTCTGGATAACACGAGGTAAGACTAGAATCGCTCATCACAGCTTTTCTATACGCCTCTTTCTTCTCATTTTCGTTTTTCACCTTAATATCACTAGCCTCCTGAAGTAGATGTTTCAAAATAGTTTCGTCTTGTAAAACATACTTGCTTCTATGACCCTCGCGACTTCTTCTGTCACTTTCATGATTATAAGTTTTACAGTTTTTATTGCTACGCTCTTTATTTTTACTACGCTCGTGTGCGTTTTCTGGATCTAACATTTTTACTTCATCTTCCGATTCACTATCCTCACTGTCGCTGTCCTGTTTATCTTCCTTCTCCATGTTGCCTACTTCTATGTCGACATCCTTATCAGCCATATCTTGCCTCTTTTCCTCACTGCTTAAATTTTCGTCACTGCCACTCTGCCCTCTTAACAAAAAAGGCAAAAGCATACCCGTGTTTTTAGAGTCGATAATTTTCAAGGCTCGTTCATCCAGTCCGGCATTTCCGAATCTTCTGCCCATATTGGGCATTTGAATTGGAATTTGAGTTATTAATTGACTATCTTGAGAAGTGGTGCTGCCTCTCCTAGACAATGGATCAATTTTTGCTGATCGGGATTTCCCGAAGTCTCTTCTGCTCTTCCCACGACGGCCGCGCGATCGGCTTGCAACTTTTCGTGTTGTCTTTACTTGTGCGATTTGTACAGAGATCTGCGAGTCCAGAGAATTTCGTCTGGATTCCATAGAGACACATTTGAAGCTATAACTAATCTCGGAATCAGCCGAGTTGCGTCTATTACTAGACACAGAGCCTGTAGTGCCAACTAGTGCACCCCTTCGCGTCACTAATTTGGGCAAAGCGGCTGCCCAAGTGCTGCTGAAGTCTTGTGATGCTGAATTGAGGTCAAAATTCAGTCCAACTGGATCCGCATGAGTGTTGTGAAAACTTATTGATAAACGACCGGCCTTATTAAATGTCTTCCGATTCGCAAATAAATGCGCGATAAGCTTGTGCTTACTCAGTCTTATAGGAGGCTCCTCAGACTCGCGATTGAAAATCCTGCAAACGAAGAGAAAATATATGCTACTCAGAATAGCATTGATCACAACAATGACGAGTCAACACAGTAAGTATCTAGCATGTATTGAAATTTACCTTCTTAAAAATCTGCACCATGTGTCGACCGTTGAGCTAGTCCATATCCACGAAGACATAAATATGCCGGTGGAAAATAATGCAAGCAAATGCAATTGCAATTTACCTGTGCTAGGTCTCGAGTCCATTTTACATTCAGATACGTCTGCATACTTTGTCGCAATCGTACATCTTTAAACAAATGTAACTGCATTATATTTACATTACATTTAGATAATACAATATCAGACTGATATTACATTTGTCGTATAACAAATTTTTCAAGCTTGTTAAATAGCTACAGGACAGAGAAATCTGAGAACATTTTTGTCCTGCAACTAATCAACGGGCTTGAAATGCTTGTCGTACGATGAAAACGGATTAATGTAATATTAGCTTTATACGATAAATATGCGTTCAATAATCAAATATATTTATAAAAAATTTAATATTATAAGTAAAATATTTATTTTGAACATATACATAATGAATCTTAATGGATATTCCAACAATTTATCATGAGAAATGAATTACCGACTGCAATTAGAATCTACGCATAAGAAAAACTGAAATATTCATCTTCCATGTTAAAACATTAAAACATGCATTAAGATTCACTCATATACATATAGAAGGACTATATTTATAATTATATAATGAAATTCCCTTACATCATATAACTTTTAAAGCTTTGTTGCCATTGCTGCGAGTTCTGAATTTCGTAAATATGACAGTAGAATGTAATAACAACAGCTGCAAGAGTGCCTATGGAAAAGAGTCCCATTCTAACAATTGTTTGTTTTATTTTCGAACTTGCTCTTTCGGATATGATCTCCTGACTGCTTATTTTTAAACAAATAAGCGTGTAGAGTCCTAAAATACATACATTACATATCATAGATGCAAGAATAATTATTCAATATATTAAACAATAATGCAATGATACTCACAATTTAAACACAGAAAGCATTAAAAATGTATAAAAATTTAATATTATTATCATATCGACATAAATATACAAATGATAAGAAACAATATGTACCTCTGCATAGAAAATATCCTCCTATTAACACTGCAAGTAATACAGGACCAAGCACAAAAATCTTTGCCATATGATCGGCGTAACCCACGAAGCAAATTCCTGTTATGCTGTTACCATCAATTCGACCTAATGCCATGATTGCGACTGTTAAAACAAGTGGTATGCACCAAGCGATTAAATGAAAGTAAGCACTCTTTTTGTCTATCCGATCTTGTATTGTGCCAAGTGCTCGAAAGCTCATGTGCCAAGCGTACGTTAATATAACGAACCATACTGCAGCTGCCATTAAAGAATAGTACACAAGAATAAAGACAATGACGCACGACAGATTCTCCCCACTGTAAAAATAAATATTTTATAAAATTAGATCAACATCCTTGTGATAAATTCCATTACGATGTATCGTGAAACATGCCTTGGTTCTCTCGTTCTTAATGTGCCGTCTTTGTGGCATATAACTACATCCCTACTGCCAGGAGTGAATTGAATTAGCCAGCCAATGCAAGATACCATAAAACAACCATTAATATAAAATATTACCAAAGCTGGATACTTGTTTGCGCTTCTCCAATCTATGATAAATGTTAGCTGAAACATGTGAATATAAAATATAAATTGTATAATTAGCATATATTATTTGTGTTTTTACGCCACTTACAATGGTGAATAAATTGAAAGCACAGCAGATGCTTGCAGCCCATATAATGAACGAATGTATTTGATTATGTTCGTCAGGCGTGTATAATGGGTTATAACATTGTGTTCCACAGCCTTCAACTCCATCAAAAATGGAAAGAGCATTGTCAGTAGGTACAAGAGGTTTCAAGCATTTGCCCGAAATATTAAATTTCAATTCCCTAATATCATTCTGACATAATCGTGGAAATAATTCCTTATTATCACACTTTGCAAAACTCGGCCATATTGTATGATTCATCAGCATCCTACAGGGTCCTGATACCATCTTGCACATCTCTTGAGATGGTAATTCAACTGTATCGTTAATACATTTCGGCATAAATATTGAGCACAAAAATGGTTGAACAACTGCCCAGCATTTTGGTACATGCTTTAAAGCTTGCAACAAGTATAATCTTTCCTAAAAGTAAAAAGATACATATAGACAAATGTAATCCATTCTCATCATAAAAAAACCAATAGAATATAACAGAATATTATATGAATATTATAGATAAACAACTTGAGAGAAATATATTAAAAATTAAAATTAAAAAAAATTTCAAATACAGCAAAATATATTATTCTAAATTTCTTAATATTGTATATCATCATAGAAAGATAAGCTTATGCATAATAAGAGAATTATCTGAGACAATCTTAAATACAAATTTTGAAACTTAAATTCTCTCTAAATGTTTATATAGATATAAAATATAGTCTTCATTCCTTAGAAAGCCATTGCTGCAAAACTTCGGAACATCAAATTTCTAACTTACATATATTTCTACAAAATTATGCTTTATCATAGAAAAAAAAAAAAAATATTATTAACATAAAAAATATATAAATAGTAATTTTATCTACCTCAACAATATCTTGAGTTATGTGTTCTGGTATAAGATCCAATGTGGTAAAAGAGTAAGGTAATTTTGTACCCATACAGGTACTTTTAGATAGTTGAACACATTTGGCAGGTCTACGGCAGGCTGAGATATCTGGTGACAATTCACCTATAGGATATCTATCTAATCTATAATTGGGATCTTTGATTCTTTGATGCCGACCCATATCCTTCCACGTACTGTTTTCACCATCATTGTCGTTAGCTGCAAATCCATGCTCCAGTCCCAAAAGCAAGCCATTGCAAAATATCAGACAATAGAGGAGCAGCAAAAGTACCATCTGCGAGTAGAAAATAAGTTTTTCACAATCAGAAAGCGATTTAAGAAAATACACTCTGATGTAAACAAAAGCAAAGGCGGTTCTTTTCTCTCATTTTTGAGAGGAGACACAAAAGAAACTCCATTTCTTCCTCTTTATTAAAACGCAACGCCTCTTCCACAAGGTAATATCAAATCGAATAGTAATTAAGTAATTAATCACGAAACAAAGTGTCATGTGGAAATAAACGCGCGGTATAAACAATAGAATTAGCTGCGAGAGACGTGTACCTTCATGCGGTCGGGCTCACGGATCGATCCCGGTTAACCATGAGGTAAAATACGCGTCTCGATCGTGCAAAGCGTCTCGCATCTTCTATGCGACAGCCGCACTCGAAACTCACAAACCAGCCGGACCACACAACGCGACGCGTTCCCGGTCGGCGCACCACGATGGACCACCCACGATGCGTCTCCCCGACTCCCCACGCCTTTCTCAAGTTTGAATGCACGCTAAAGTCGGCCACGTGCATTGCTCACCGATGGCAGCACTATGCTGCGTCGCTACGAGGAAATCAAGGCTAAAATATACGAAGACGGCGGCAAGAAGAAACGAGGAGTCATTTCGGCGTGAGTTCTCTCACATCGTTTGATTTACATCTCGAAATCATACAAAAATTAAAATAAAGTACTAAAATTGTTAAACTATTTGAAAGAAAGATTTAAAGACTTAAAAATTTTTTAGACTTTACGATTTTATAAGACTCTTTAAGATTATATAAAATTAAATTTTATATTATTCTCTCTCAAAATTTTGTCTTAATACTTACACAAAAAAATAGACATAAAATAAGATTTCAGCATAAAATAAATTTGCAGCGGCAAAATTGTTAATACGAGAATTTAATTAGATTATTTAATTTTTTTGTTAATGTCCGAGAATAGTTAAAACGATAGAATTATGACAGATTTATACATAAATGTGTAAAACAAGAAATTATAATACACATATATAGAACACGCTTTATTTGTCTCTTAGTTTTTTACATTCTGCAACTTACATTATTAAAGGAATGGACTATATACAGTATTTGTAAATAATTAAGAAAACTATTTACATTTTTCTATAGACCTAAAGATTACCAGGGACTATAAGTACAAAAAATGAGCAAATCTGTATATCTTCTTTCTCACTAATTCTGTCGAAAAAATTTTATTTCTGTTTTATATTGAAAGTCTCAATTATGTAAATATACATATAACTAAATAGATACATTTTTTTAGAATTATAATTTTTCTTTCACTAGTCACAATTAAACATATAAGCATATGAAGATATTTAATATTTATTGCACAGAACAATTCTGTATACAACTTCTAGTTTTTACACTTAAAAAAATCCAATCTTATTTCTCTCTCTCTCTCTCTCTCTGTTATTAGAATTATTTGTCATATGTTCAAGTTACTAAATTTTAATCGAGAAAAATTAAGAGTAGTGTTATAATCAATTAGAATACTATATTTTTCATGTGTGATACTTCAATTCATAATTTTTTATATCTTTCTATTGTCATTGTATAAAAATAATTGCAAAATACAAAAGCTAATCACTTTTATCCGCTCTATTAATTACTAATTATGACTAATTCAAGAAAATTAAATCTGTAGAAAAGAAGAGAGAAAGAAGTCCAAGTATCTTATGTGTAATTACAAGTATTGTAATATTTTTAGCCCATATGTTAAATTAAAATCAATCTTTTAGAATTAACCAAATTGTCAAATGACTTTTTCTAAAGAAGCATGATGATAAAAAAAAAATCTTTGCGAGATATAAGACATGATTACAATTAGGGATACATTGTAATGTAGTCATTTGCATAAATACATATAAAAGCATAATATACAAACACATATTTGTTTTTTAAGTTTTTAGTAAAATGTTATTAATATTAATAAAAATGTTAGTGAATTTATATGAATGGTGTGTATAATATTACAATAGCTTATCTTCGTCGTAATAAATCAGTTATATTCGACTAATCAGTTATACTAAGAGCATTTATATTTGCTAGTAAATCTTTAACATTATCCTGAACCTGATCTGAGGTATTGGATAAAGAAAGCCGTGAACAGAAATTGCTCAATGTTTCTACTTGTTCTCGCATATTCTTCTGCTTTTGCAGATATGCCATTAACATATTAATTACATTATGCATCTCCTCCTTGATCTCAAGCATGTCCTCATTATTACAATTTCGTTGTAACATTCTTAATTTGGTTTTCGCTAATTGCAGTGGATTGTAACCATAGGAATCTAATGCGAGAACATCAGTACCAGCTGTTAAGAGCAGTGTTACTACTGATAATTTGCTATTAACTGTGGCTAGATGCAATGGTGTGTTTCCTATACAGTCACGCTGATTTGGATCTGCACCGTTTTCTAACAATAAACGGACTATTTCAGTATAACCCCTGTAGTAAAAAATACCAAGATATAAGTAATTTAAACTATTACTTTTCTCAGAATATCTTAAGGAAAATATATATTGATAATTTCATTAATAAATCAATTCAAAAAAACTCTACTTTCAAACATATTATTCATCTTATAAGAAAACATACATAATGTATATGTTATGTAGATTATATTTTAAATATATAAATTATACCTGCAAGCTGAAATATGAAGGGGAGTTCGTCCGTGATCGTCGTGATTGTTAGGTGATATCCCAAACTCCAAAAGTCTTTTCATCAAAGATACATTATTTGTGGTAGCAGCCAACCGCATCCTTTGTTGAATACGTTTAGTTCGCCAATCACTGAAGGCTAAAGCTTGGGTATTTGTATTTTTGTATGCACGAAGGACACGTACTCTTATCTTAGGGCGGTAAAAATGAAGCCTGTGTTTATTTCGTATTATTTCTAAGGCCTAAAATAATACAATAACTCTTTTAATTCAAGATTTATAATTATCATATTGAAAGTTACATTCAACAAAAAATTGTATTAAAGGTTTATATTGTTACTGATGTAAAGTGTTTTAATAAACAATCTTGTTCTTTTATTTTTGTTTTGCATTTCTAATCAAAGAAATTTTTGGACAAGTTCTAGCTTTTCATGCTACCACTCTCAACTATTTACTAATACATAAAAACGACAGTAGGTACCTCGGCGTCGATTGTAAGTAGCCTGTTCTTTTGCAACATCACAGTAACCTCGGGCGAGTTCCGTTTGCTCTCATCAGGGACTAATAGAGGCTGTATTAAAGCACGCCAGTCGTACATATTCAGATTGGGAAATTCTTCAACAGAGTTGGTGCTGACGGTTGTGACACTGTTGCCGATGACCTGGTTAGCGACAACCTGCTGTTGTTGACCTTCCTGCTGGACGATTGAGCTATCGTTCGAATCGTTCCCAGTCTCTACTCCCGAATCTACCGAAGTCATGTTTACATTGGAGCACGCAACATTACTACCGCTAATATCGCTGTGGTTAGGTAGCATCGCCTCTCGCCCTCGCAAGTCCGCAGTGTCGTCCATCGATATAATTTTCTCTTACAGAGAATTTAATAGAAATTAATTGTATCAAGAACAAGAACAGCGAACAACCGAACTTTTCGCTCTACTTCTGATAATCTTGAAAACTCTAATCAACTACTGTTCGACTTTTTTTGACCACTTCTTTTTCTTACGCTCTACCAGCTACCTTCTATACCTCTTACTCATTCCTGTTACCTGTTGTTCCTCGGCTCTTTTGCGTGCTTTTGCATTAAATAAATACCCAAATACCGTGTAAAACCAATAAAAACAAGAATGGCGCTTTGCATATAGCCTAGTATCCCTACATATATATATATGTGTATGTACATATATATATATATATGATATCTTAAAGAGAATTCTCCAGGGGTTGGGCACGCATTAAAAGCCCAAGACACAATGCGAGGGAATAGCGATAGTGATAAGTTTCAACCTATCAAAAATGTGTATTCCGGTGTATTCGATTTCTGATAAGTTGAAACTTATCGCTATCGCTATATCCCCTCGCATTCTGTCTTGGGCTTTATACACATAGGCCGGTATTCATAGTCGGTTCTTATATTCAAGACCGTCTTAAGTTCAGTCTTGAAGAGTTACGAACCAATCAGAGGCCGGTATTCATAGTCAGTTCTTATATTCAAGACCGTCTTAAGTTCAGTCTTGAAGAGTTACAAACCAATCAGAGGGCAGCTTTAGCATCTTAAGACATTAGGGTGCAAACCCATGCAGCGGAACAGCGTAACGCGGAACGAGAGTAGAACCAATCACGAGATTCTCTAGAAACATGGAATGCTCGTTATTGGTTCTACTCTCGTTTTGCGTTACGCTATTCCGTTGCATGGGTTTGCACCCTTACTTAGGAAAGTCTTGAAAGTCAGACCTTTACTTAAGGCTTCCTTAAATTTATCTTCAGATGATTTACTAATTATTTTATTGGCTACTGAGTATCTAAAGATAAATTTAAGGAAGCCTTAAGTAAAGGTCTGACTATGAATACGGGGGTTAATTCCGTAAAAAAGTTACCTGTTTTTACTAGTAATGCTTTTTCTTATTTTATCTATTTGACTAATGCCTGGTTTATGCTTCGGTCTTAAGGTCTTAATCCTAAAATTCAGCCAATAGAGTTGAAATTTCAGTTAGAACTGGCAGCTTTATTGGTTGAATTTTAGGATCTTGGGATTAAGACCTGAAGCATAAACCAGGCATAAATTTGACGGTTTAAGTAAAGTTTTTGTTATAATCAAGATATATTCTGCAGTTTTCTTATGAAATAAATTAAAAATAATCAATATAACTTGTTAAATAAAAAATAATGTAAAGCATTACTAGTATAAAAACTGATAACTTTTACAGAATTACGGCTCCATGGGACATAAGGAGATAAAATACACGTAACATTACGGACGCAATTCCCAGTAACTTTTGCAAACATCCGGTGCGGATTACGGATTGCGGGCTGTATGTGACGGCAGTATTCACATTTACGCAAAACGCGGCCATTTCAAATTTACGCATATATGTATGTATAAACGTACTTTCTTTGTGAAAATGAAGCTGCAGTCGAGCATGTAAATCAATGTTGTTGAATTGTAATTAGTTTATTTGTGACCAAAACAGTATGTAGAAATGCTTAATTTAGGTTACCGGACAAAATCCATAAACAATGACGGGCGAATGTTGGCATTTCTCGATCGAAGATCACTAAGATCCATAAATTTATTTTTGAAATTATTAAAAAAAACAATGTGTTGCACATTAAAAGTATGAAGTGCAATCGTCGTACAGACGTTAAAATATGAAAAGTGGTTATGCGCATTGTAGAAACGTAACGAAGGTATTTTTAAGTCAGTTGTAAAACTGTCAGAGTAAAAATTTTATAATTACAATTTAATTAATGGCCAATTGATCATATCAGCTTCTTAGTGCTAAAATAATTTTTCTTCTATGATTTCACATAGAATTTCTAATCCGAATTGTAAACTTATCAGTGAACTGATACAATTAACGTATGTAAATATTTTCAATAAATATTTTTTGGAAAGGTCGCTAATTTGTAATCACTGATTTTAATAAACTTTTTTGAACATGTAGTAATGACTGAAAGTACTACAGTAAAGCCGCATGTTTCACACTATTTAGCCATTCTCGAGATAATAAATATGTATAATAGGCAATAAAATATTTCCTTGCTGGCACCGCTATTATCTCGGGATCTCAGAGGGTTTAATTTGTAGTCGGGACTTTTTTTAAAATTTAAATCTTATAACTTTTAAATGTTATATACAATTTTTAAGTTGCTTTTAATTATGTAATATAAAATTAATTATTTATTTAAAAAAATCAGGGAATTATAAAAAATACTTTTATATAAAATTAAAATAGGTCCTGTGGCTTTATATACTATGTAGCACATAGTAGAGTCCTAGATATCAGAGAAGCGCAACCGGCTTAAGTCAGTATCGCAAAATTACTAAGAAAAGTATTAAAAATGGCGTCATTTGCAGACGAAATATGAAATCCACCAATCGTCTATTAGTCAGCCATTTTTAATACCACTGAATGAATGTCATGATTGGCTGACAGTCAGCTAATCAGGACGCGGAACATCGGTTGCGCTTCTCTGATATCTAGGACTCTAGCACATAGGACTAGCGATCCCTGCTTGAAATCAACAAATCATAGTCGAATGTGAGGAGGATAATTAACTATTCATTGGTCGATTTCTATACATTGTAGAATGGGCTTTAGAGAATCTATTCTATATATGATCTATCCCAACTTTTCAAATTTCTGATAATGCGCATTAATTACTATTGTAAGATTCACATTGCGTACGACATCCAACGTACGACGATACGATATCCAATAGAAGAGCTTATTTTCTAGATATATAGCTAAAAATATTTTATCGTACAATGGCTACGTTCAGCAGACTCAACAGTTGAGTGAGCGCTCGCTATTATTGGTGTATTCTTCCAGATCTAAAATTCTGACTGGATGATCTAAAAGAATACACCAATAGCGAGCGCTCACTCAACTGTTGAGTCTGCTAAACGCGCCCGATGAGGGCGTATATCAATTGCACACGAAACAGTTGCGCACAAGCCAATCACAAGGCTAGAAAAAAAAATTAAAAAAGAATTACCTACGCAGAAGTTGCAGTGATAAGCGGGGAGCACAGACTTTTGCATAACGCATAAACCATATACATAAAGAATTTAATTGGTCCATTGACTCATGCATAAGAAAATGGGCCAATGAAATTCCTTATGTATATGTATTATGCGTTATGCAAAAGTCTGTGCTCCCCGCTATAGGCAGTGGACAATAGCTACAGTGTGCAAGTGAACCGCTCCCGTATGATGATACTTGTCGTATATACATACAAAACAAGCTCTCCTATTGGATGATCTAAAAGAATATACCAATAGCAGTGAGCGCTCACGGATCCGCTCCGCAACAGTTGAGTCTGCTGAACGCGACCATTGTAGAGTTTTGATTGGTCTCACTGTTCCGTTCCGTTGTAATTTTCGCTCCATGTGACGCCATCCAGCATATGACGCAACCATTTCGATGTTTGACCATATATGATTACATATATGTGTTTGACGCTGTCATGTAAAACGACCTTTAATTCTTTTTATATCATAAATCTGACGACATATTGTAATCTAACCTTCATCTTTAATGTGTAATCCAGTGTAATCACAAGACACAAGTTGACACTTTGACACGAAATTAGCTACTTCGTTGTCATGTCTTTGAATGATTTGGAAAATCTCGAATAATTCGAAGAAACTGGATATACTAATCGAAGCTTTTTTCAACTCGAAAGGGTAGAAACATTGCGAGATTCAGTAAAAAGAAGAAGAAGGAGGGATTGTGTGAAGGTCACGAATCTTGTTTCAAGAAAACGGGCGTCGAGGTATCTATTATATGATCCTTTCACCGAAATGGGAGTTCCGTCATCAGCAAGCACGAAAGTTAATATACTGAACGAGATTCATCATTTGAGAAGTAAGTTTGCAACTTTTCAAAGATAAGAGAGTAATTTGATTTTTTGTTTTAGAATAAAGGCTAAGAGTGTGTGTGTATATATATATATATATATATAT